ACGTCTCGAAACGAGTAAGTGTTGGCTGGCTGACGGCTTATGTCCCACATTGTTTCCAGGTCATGTGAGAGATGTTTTTTGAGTCCATCGAAGGGCGCGCAGCGCCGTACGAAGTGAGTGTTAGTTGACTTGTGATTTCCGAGATGCGCCATAATGTGAGAGATGTTTCGGGCTCCTTAAGAACGGTGTGCATTTTCGTGTAGAGTAAATGTTATTCTTCCCACTGTCTATCCTTCATCACATTCACACTTCCCTTCTCTCTCCCGCGTGCTTACCCACCCTTCCCATCCGTTCTCCCTGCCTCTTGCCAGTGGACACGCTTCAGCTGTCGCAGCTTTTCCCAGACGCCTCCTCCCTCCTCGCGTCCTTCGCCAGCAATGTGACGAAAATAATGGGATCTCTGGTTACCACATTCGCGATCGACGACTCGTCGGCCTGTTTCAACGGCACGGGCATCTACCCGCAATACACGGCGTGCTGCGATCCCTACTCCTCCCTCCCCTCCTGCCCTGTCACATCCCTCGACCCTTCTAAGTACCAATCGGTAGTTAATCGCACTATTGACTCTAATAGCTGCATGGGGATCGCTCCCCCGCCTCCTCCTCCAGCTCCCGCTCCCGCCCCCGCGTCGCTCGCCTCCGCTCCGCCCCCACCCCCTCCTTCCCCCGTTTCCTACCCTATCTGCCCCTTCACGGGTAATTACCCCTCCGTTCCTGCGCTTATTCCGCCTGCCCGCTGCCCGGCCGCGGCGAATCTTTCCTGCTGCCCGGCGTGTAGCGATCTGGATGGCGCGCTACAGCTGGCGTCGGCGAACATGAGCGCGCTTGTAGCGCAGCTCAGCCCCGGCGCTACAGTCGACCCGAGCCTGGGCGTGTGCAATGGCTTCGAAGGACAGCAGCGGTGCCTGCAGCTGCTGGAAGATCTCAACTGCGCGTCATCGTGTAACCCAAGTGAGTCAAATGAAAACGATGTGTTGAAAACTAATAGAAAATTACTAAACAATAACCCGAGCTCGGGCGTGTGCAAGGGGTTCAAAGACCAGCAGCGGTGCCTGCAGCTGCTCGAGGACCTCAACTGCGCGTCGTCGTGTAACCCAAGTGAGTCAAATGGAAAAGATGTGGAGAAAAAAATACAAATATAACCAAACAATGACCGGGGCCTGGGGTTGACTTCTGAGTCGACTCATAAGTCACCTCAATACAAATATAACCAAACAATGACCGGAGCCTGGGGTTCGACTTTTGAGTCGACTCAAAAGTCACCTCAATACAAATATAACCAAACAATGACCGGGGCCTGGGGTTGACTTCTGAGTCGACTCAAAAGTCACCTCAATACAAATATAACCAAACAATGACCGGAGCCTGGGGTTGACTTCTGAGTCGACTCATAAGTCACCTCAATACAAATATAACCAAACAATGACCGGAGCCTGGGGTTCGACTTTTGAGTCGACTCAAAAGTCACCTCAATACAAATATAACCAAACAATGACCGGAGCCTGGGGGTGTGCAAGGGGTTCAAGGGGTAGCAGCGGTGCCTGCAACTCCTGGAAGACCTAACCTGCGCGTCGACACGTAACCCGGTCACGTACAGTCAGACGATAACGTTGTTGGTTGGTGGATAACAAACGACATATTGTTTGAATTTGCACACTCTACATTCGTAATACTCATATAAAATACTTGTTCTTCTCCGCCCGTACCTTCCCCCACCTCTTTGCTCCCCTCCCCCACGTGGCTGTGTGATTGATTCCCAGATTCTGGCGCTTACATAAGTGGCACCACCATGCGCGTGTGCACTGCCTTTGCTGACGCCCTCTACACCGCGTGCAGCCCTGTGTGGAGTAAGTGCTATGTTCCTGGTAACCACCGTTTTGTAACAAGATGATTATTCAGTGCTATGCTTATTGTCGACTCAGAAATCACCTCACCGTGTGCAGCCTGGTTGGAGTAAGTGCTATGTTCCTCATAACCTGCAGGTTGCATTAGGTTCTCCCCTTTCTATCCTCTCCCCTGGTCCGAACCGACATTTTGCACCATTCTTCAGCAGGCAAATCTCTTTCTCTAAGCTCTCCCCCAACGCCTCTTCCCTCCGCGCGTCTTTCTTTCGCAATTCTGATCAACCCCCCTCTCCCACCTCCCACCTTCCCTCCTCCCCCCTCTCCCCCCGCTCCCCACGCTCTTTTTCCCCCTTGCAGTGAACAACATCTCTATCTCTGCGCTCTTTCCCAATGCCTCCTCCCTCCTCACATCATTCGGAGGGAACATGACCAAACTCATGGGATCAAGTGTTACCAACTTAACCATTGACGATTCTAATTCCTCCTGTTTCAACGGCACTGGCGTTTATCCGACCTACACTGCCTGCTGCGACCCCCTCGCAGCCCCTTCCACCTGCCCTGCAACCGCACTGAACCCCTCTAACTTCCCTTCCGATCTGATCAACCGCACCATTGACTCCCAGTCTTGCATGGGCAGCCTCCTTCCGCCTCCTCCTCCTCCTGCTGCCCCCCCTTCCGCCCCCGCCCCTTCCCCCTCCGCCCCCGGGTCCGCCCCAGCACCCGCCTCGTCCGCCGCCCCGTCGCCCCCCCCAGTTACCACCTTCCCCAAGTGCCCCTTCACCAATAACAGCCCGTACCCGCCAGGCAGCGCCATGCCGCGCTGCCCTGCTGCGGCGAATCTCTCCTGCTGCACCGCCTGCCAGGACATTGACGGCGCGTTGAAACTCGTCACTACGAAGCTGGAAGATGTGGTGAAACGCATTGGCCCTGCGAATTCCGTGGATCCCAGTCTCAAGGTGGGGTCTGGGAAATGACAGAGTTCAACCCCCCCCCCCCCCCCTTTGTTTCTTCTTCTTTCGTGATAGCAACAAAGAGTGATTTTTTTTTCTTACTATTACATCTGTTCAGTTAGGTCCCTTAACGTTTTCGCCCTATTTTCGTCTCCCTGTTCTGCTTCGCCACTCGCGTGTTCAGCTGTGCGATCTCTACAGTGACCTCATGTGCGAGCAATCAATTGAGGATATGGTCTGCGCACTCACATGTAACCCAGGTGCGTTACAGCTCATTGATTTCATATGTTGCTATATATCTTCCTTCAATGGTTGCGCTCAATCGTTTTACCTTTATCCAGTCATTCTTTTGAGCCAATCTTTTTCATATTTTTCGTCCTGTGCTCTACAATGTTCAAAAACATAATTTATTTTTCTATGTCGCGCGTGCAGATGCGGGTCGATATGTGTCGGTGTCAGACAGTGCGGTCTCCATGGCTGTGTGCCCTAGCTATGCTTCCTTCTCCTATGAAGTGTGCAAGGGAACTACAAGTAAGGAATGCCCAAGATATTGTGCTCGTTTGGATGGATGCATGCATGCATATGAATGTGTTTGTGAGGGTGTGTCTGTGTATGTGCGCGGGTGTGTATGTCTGTGTGGGTCCACATGTGCTAATGAGTGCGGGTGCTTTCATTTCTTTGTTCTTTTCTACTCAAGTTTCGATATCAGCCTACTTACCACCATGCCTCCCCTATTTATATTTATGGTTTACATCCCTAAATGTGCAGTTGGGAATATGACACTCGAGTCAACCATTCCGGATGCTGCCACGTTCCTAAGCACAGTTGTCAGCAGCGTCATTGGCGTCGCCATGGCCATTAGTAGCTTCAACATTACTGTGAAAGAGGTACAGTAACAAACACACCAACATAATAAACATATTCATCAACAAATGCACATGCACACATTCATATCTCCATGTAGGTGGAACACATGCACACGCAGCTATGCACATGTATGTGGATCATTCACATTCGAGTTTGCACAGGCTGACATACCCCCTCATATCCACACTCGTCTTGCCCCCCCTCCCCTCTTCCCACGTCGTCCCCCCTCACTCCGCCAGACCTCCTGTTTCAACGGGTCACCCCTCGTCCCCGCCACGCCAGCCTGCTGCGACCCACTCTCCCTGCCCTCCTCCTGCCCTCTAGGCTCAATCGACCCCTCTAAATACCCCAACGCCATCGGCCGAACCATCAACTCCTCTCTCTGCCTCTCCGCTTCCCCTCCCCCTCCTCCTTCCGCCCCAGCCCCCTCCTCCTCCCCCTCTCCCCCTGCTCCTGCTGCTCCTGGTTCAACCCCTGCACCTCCTCCCGCCCCTGCCGGTTCCCCGTCTCCTGCTCCGCCTGCTCCTGCTGTGCCTTCTTCCCCGGAAGGCCCCCTGACCGGTACAGAGAATAACACGAGGCCTCCTCCCCCTCCCTCTCCTCCTTCCAAGGCCGCTTCTGCTTCCTCTTCTGCTGCTGCAGGGGCAGTGATGGCGGCTGTGTTGCTGCTTACAACTGCTGTTCTCCTGTAGGAAAGGGTTGATTCAACTAGAATTGCTGCTCTCCTGAGGGGAGTGTTCCTGTCGTTCTGTTTGCTCTGTTCTGAGAGGGCTAGCATGGGGTTGGATAGGGTGGTGGTGGGCTGTGTGGTGGGCCTGGTTCGGCTGCTAGTGGACTGCGATTGTTTGGTTGTTCCTGTGGGGAGGTGGAAAGCGGTTCTCTTGGGTGGGTGCTTGTTGGTTTGTGGCAGGAGCAGCACGTGCTTTTCGGAGGTACACTGATTTCTAGGTTGATAACTAGACTGATATTATGTAGTCTGATACCAGTAGAAGTCCGGCTGATGCAGAGTTAGAAACTAAACGGCTCCTCCCGGTGTGGAAATGACATCGCCCTTTTGGTAGTATACTACTGATATCCTGACCACTGTACAACATTGTTCAAGTCAAATCTAGTTGCAAGCAGAGCCACCGGCTCTAGTAGCAGTGGAGAGAAGAGAGGAGAGAAGGGTGAGATAGGGCAATGCAGAGGGGAAGCAGGATTTGGAAAGGGGGAGGGTGTCACAGCAGCAGTGCAGGTGCTCGCAGGGCAACAGCGGTGGAGAGAAGAGAGGAGAGAAGGGTGATATAGGTGGATGGAGGAGGTGAATCAGGATTGCCGGTGCTAGGGGAAGGAGGAGGGAGTCACAGCAGCAGTGCAGGTGCTAGCAGGGCAACACCAGCAGAGAGAAGAGAGGAGAGGAGGGAGAGATAGGTGGATGCAGGCGGGGAGGCAGGCTTTGGAGGAGGAGGAGGGGATGTAGTGATGGGTGGAGGAGAGGAGGGAGGAGTAGAGGGAGGGGGGGCTGAAGCCACTTGGGAGGGAGGGCTGGGAACGACGGGGAGGCCAGTGGGAGGAGAAGTGGGAGGAGAGGAGGGAGGAATGTCAACAGCAGGAGCCGGTGCAGGGGCAGGTACTGGTGAGAATTCAGGAGGAGGGGCGGGAGCAGGTGCGGGAGGGGCGGGAGGGGCGGCAGGGGCGGGGGCAGGGGCGGGCGTGGGGAGGATCCCCGCTTGGCAGGAGGAGGAGTTGACTGGTCTGTTGATTATGGAGGCGTAGCGAGTGGTGTTGATGGCTGTAGCAGGGCAGGTGGGAGGGACGGCGAGAGGATCGCAGCATGCGATGTAGGGAGGGAACTGGGTTGTGCCCATAAAACAGGACGTCTGGAAAGTGAGGAGGGGGGAGGGAGGGGAGGGGGATGGACAGAGGGAGGGGGAGGACGGAGGGCAGGGAGGATAGGGGAAGGGAAGACAGGTTGACTGGTCGGTTGAAAATGGAGGCGTAGCGAGTGGTGTTGATAGCTGAAGCAGGGCAGGTGGGGGGGATGGCGAGAGGATCGCAGCATGCGATGTAGGGAGGGAACTGGGTTGTGCCCGCGAAACATTTTGTCTGGTACAGGAGGGTGATGTTCCCCACCACCATCTTTTAGCGTGAGGCCTCTCACCCCCAGCACTTTAATTGAAGATGTGTTTTGAGACGTCTCAAAACACATCTTCAATCACGTTAGCGTGAGGCCTCTCACCCCCAGCCCTTTAACAATGTTTCCAACCACCATCAGGAACCTCATATCCGAACAACCATTCCCAATCCATGCGTGTGCCAATCTGATGCGTGTCACCAATGCCCACACCCACCCACACCCACCCACACCCACCCACACCCACCCACACCCATCCACACCCACCCACACCCACCCACTCACCGCTCCCACTTTGGCCGTGAAGCCCGTCACCCCCAGCACTTTGACGATGTTCCCCACCACCATGGACATGAAATTCTTTGCGTCTGGGATGAAGGTTGTCAGGCTTACGCCATCGCCAACTGGGGGTGGCGTGGGAGAGAGAACAAGAGAGTTAGGGGATTTTTGAGTCGACTCAAAAATCGGGGAGAGGGGAGAAGAGAATTTTATGATTGGGACGCCTCAAAATCCACCATGGACATGAAATTAGCCGCGGCTGGAATGAAGGCTGTCAGGCTCATGCCGTCGCCCACTGAGGGTGGTGGAAGAGAGAGGGAGAAAACGTGGAAACAAAGCGAAGAGGTACACAGTCATGACATATACAGGACACTATGAGAATTGGCCGCGACTGGAATGAAGGCTGTCAGGCTTATGCCGTCGCCCACAGGGGGTTGGGGAAGGGAAAGCGAATGAGAGAAAGAGAAAAGGGAGAACGAGTGTGAGAAACGGGCTGATACAAGGTCAAGACTCCCAGCAGCACTTTGACTATGTTCCCCACCACCATGGGCGTGAAATTGGCCGCGTCTGGGGATGAAGGTTGTCAGGCTTATGCCATCGCCAACTGGGGGTGGGGTGAGAGAGGGAATGAGGGAGAGAGAGGGGAGAGCAAGCGCGCGTGTGAGACATTCAATCAAGGGGCTAATACAAGGTTCAAGTCGCCCAGCTTTGTGTGCCATTGTAACGAGGTGACTTTTGAGTCGACTCAAAAGTCACCTCAAGGGGCTGATGGTTTAAGACGCCCAGCTTTTTTACAATGTTCCATACAACCATGGACATGAAGTTGACCATGTCATGAACGTTGGACATGAATTTGACCATGCCATACAACCATGGACATGAATTTGACAATGTCATGAACGTTGGACATGAATTTGACCATGCCATACAACCATGGACATGAATTTGACAATGTCATGAACGTTGGACATGAATTTGACCATGCCATACAACCATGGACATGAATTTGACAATGTCATGAACGTTGGACATGAATTTGACCATGCCATACAACCATGGACATGAATTTGACCATGTCATGAACGTTGTCCAGCTCAAGCCGTCGCCCACTGGGGGTTGTGAAAGAGAGAGGGAGAGGGGACAAGCAAAGCGTAAGGCCCCTTCTATCTATAGACACACACACAGAGTGCATTTTGATCTTCTAGAATAGCCACCTGAGATGTAGAAGAGCACTTCGAGATGTAGGGTGTTTTTGAGAATTCTGAGATGTAGAGTGCACCTGAAAGTCACCCTACATCACCTGAGATGTAGAATTCCACTTTGAGATTTCAATCAAAAAACACAAGAGTCGAGAGTAGAGTTTATGTCAGGTTCAGATTCTCACAATTTTGCAATTTCCGTGATTCTTGGCGTACCTGACTTTTTGAGTCGACTCAAAAACAACTTCCGTGATTCTTGGCATACCTGACAGCCCCTGACAGCCCCTGGCAGCTGTTGAACACATTTTCAGCATAGGCCGGGTACACGGTCATGGTGGGACCAGCAGTGGCAGCTGCAGTGGTAACAACAGCACTAGCAGCAGCACCGGTAGAGCCGGCATCACACGTTTTGAGCCGGCATCACACGTACCTGACAGTCCCTGGCAGCTGGCGAACACTTTTTCAGCATAGGCTGGGCACACGGTCATGGTGGGACCGGTAGCATTAGCGCCAGCAGCAGCAGAGGCTGCGGATTTGATGTACTTTCCAGCGTCCGGGTTGCATTGGGCGGCACAGACGAGGTCCTCCATGGCCTGCGCACACTTAATCTGGCCGGCAAACAGGTCGCAGATCTGAAGGGGTGGGAGGAGGAGGGTAGCGCGGGAGGGTGGGGAAGCATGGGAGGTTGGGAAGGGTGTTTACGGAACAATCAAGACAAGTTCCTCCATGGCCTGTGCGCACTTGATCTGACTTTTGAGAGTTCTCAAAAGTCACACCAATTTAGAGGGGAGAACGATCAAGAGTAGGCATTTGAGGCGCCTCAAAACTTGATCTGACTTTTGAGAGTTCTCAAAAGTCACACCAATTTAGAGGGGAGAACGATCAAGTGTAGGCTTTTGAGGCGCCTCAAAACCTGATCTGACTTTTGAGAGTTCCCAAAAGTCACACCAATTTAGAGGGGAGAACGATCAAGTGTAGGCTTTTGAGGCGCCTCAAAACTTGATCTGACTTTTGAGAGTTCTCAAAAGTCGCACCGATTTAGAGGGGAGAACGATCAAGAGTAGGCTTTTGAGGCGCCTCAAAACTTGATCTGACTTTTGAGAGTTCTCAAAAGTCGCACCAATTTAGAGGGGAGAACGATCAAGAGTAGGCTTTTGAGGCGCCTCAAAACTTGATCTGACTTTTGAGAGTTCTCAAAAGTCGCACCAATTTAGAGGGGAGAACGATCAACAGAAGGTCCTCCATGGCCTGTGCGCGCTTGATCTGATCTGGCCGGCAAACAGGTCGCAGATCTGAACGGGGTAGGGGGGGGAAGGGTTGAGAAAGGGAGGGGGAGGTGGTGGCGGCACAGACGAGGTCCTCCATGGCCTGCGCGCACTTGATCTGACGGGCAAACAGGTTGCAGATCTGAAGGGGGGTTGGGGAGGGGGAGGGAGCGGGGAAGGGTGGGGAGGTCGGGGGGGGATGTGTGGTTGGGGAAGGGTGTTTGCGGAACAATCAACACTGGGTTGAAGGAAGGGGGGAGGATATGGAGGGTGGGAAAAGTGGAGGTTGGGGAAATGAAGGCTGGGCGGGGATGTGGTGAGAAATCATGCGTGTGTTTTTTTAGAATTCTCAAAAAACATACACGGCTGGACGGGGATGAGGAATCATGAGAACAAGGTGTGTGTGTGTGTGGGTCATTCAAGAAGGCTAATGAGCACAGGTTCCAAGGACTCTGAAAGGCGCACTCTGAGTATTCTTTAGGCGCCGCGCCACAAAAGTATTCTGAAAGGCGCACTCGAGTGTCAAGGGGACAAAGAGGAAAGGAGAATGAATCTCTGCATTGGCGACAAACTCTCGTCGCGTTCAAGACCGAGTCCACGGGTTGAACCCCATTCAAACGAGTTATATTCCAATTGAACCCCACTGAACCCCAATTCAATTTCACGCGTTGAAATCCAATTTGACACATAAGCTGATCCAGACGTCTTAGATTCCATCTCGTCGTATTTAACCCCGAATTGAACTCACAGAATTCCAGTCTAACGCGGAAAAGCCCATTTTTGAAGCGATAAATTGCAATTCAGAGAAGTGGGAACTTCAAGCCAACGTAAAAGTATACCCTCGCCTCGTTGTTCCAATGCTTCGCATTCCGCAGCGCGGCGGAACCGAGGCCATCGCTATAAGACCATTCGCTAAGCGGTGTGCGATATACAAATGGCATACTCACCTTGGTTGTCCCTTTTGTTAAGTCCAGCAGCGCGGGGTCGATAACCGCCACAAGATGATTCGTTTGAAGCACGCGAGGCACAACGAGGTACAGTAAGCCCACCTTAATTGTTGCATTGATAAAATCCAGCAGCGCGGGGTCGATAGCCGCCACGAGATCGCCGAGCGTGGACCCCACGAGCATCAGTGCCGAGTTCAGATCCGTGCACGAATCACAGCACGACAGCTCAGCTGCGCCGGGACACCTGGACGGTACCACTTTGGGCTTCTGCGGAAGCTTCCCCGTCAAGGGGCACGCGGGGAAGGCGGAGGCGGACGGCACGGGGGAAGGGGCAGCGGGGGAAGACGAGCCGGGGGCGGGGGAGATGAGGGGCGCGGAAGGAGACGGAGCGGCGGGCATGATGAGAAGCGGCGGAGGGGGACTTGCGGATGGCGCGGCGAGAGTGGGGGAAGGGCGGAGCGCGGCGGCGACGAGGAGGACGACGAGGAGGAGCGGCGGCGACGGCGCGCTGCGAGTAGACCGTGCGGTACGAGGAGACGGCGCGCTTCGAGAAAACGGCGCGCTGCGGAAAGACATTTGGATGGCCATGATGGTGTCTGCCGGTCTGAGAACGTATTGAACTGTCGGCGCGTGTGACAACCGCCGCGAGTGTGACAGTAGCGAGTTTAACAGAAGCGGGCGTAAAAGCAGCTGAGAGTGACAGCAGCGGGTGTATCAGTATCGAGTGCTAGCAGCGAATGCGAGCGGATTTCTGGCTGTACTTTAAGACGCGACGCGAGCGATGCGCCGCAAGGAAGAGGTTGCGCAGGGGGGCGCAGGGTGAATCAAGAAAGCCGACAGGACGACAGCAGAGTCACACAGACAGACAGACAACCAAACCCAATCCAAGCACGATGGCCCTTCTGGGGAATCCGAGGGATGGAACAAGGAAGAAATGGAAAGAGAAATTGACGAATAGCCCTAGCTTTTGGAAGAACCCGTATTTGTAAGTTATTTTCAGAACATTATACAGACAGGTCGTCAGAGGTCAAAATGAAGCTGTTCGGAGCAAAAAGGGTGGTGGAAGCATTGCCAAAAGCATCATGCTCTTCCATCAGACAGTGAAACACGAGGTTACAAACACTTTCTTCTAATGAATGACTAAAAAGGTATTCATTGGGGAAGATGGAACGACACGAAGGGGACAATTTTCGCACTTGAAGCAGCACAATTCGGTGCCGCACGCATCGCACCCCGCTGGTGGATTGTCGGGCATCTAGGGCTGAAATGGAGAATACACATGGACGGTTGGAATTCCGAAACAAGTGCACATGGAATTGCAGTTAGCGGTGTTCTGTACATGAAAGCCTGTTTTCAGTACTCCATAAAATATTCCTAGTTTCGAGGTGTACTGTACCTCTTCAAAGCAGGGCTGGAAGACACGGAAACAGAGAGTTGTCGGGCAACGTTATTGGCCAAGAGGGTCCGGCGAATTTCCAACGAGACATAATTCATCGCCGGCCCCCTCTACGATATGGACCACGCGATCCGCTGATGTCCGCGTAGAACAGCCTCTTTACATGCAGATACTTCATTTCACCAAAAGTTCATACACATCAGCCATTCCACTAATACGGGTACAGGGAGTCTGCTTCAACGCTAAAAGCGGAATCAACTAAACCAGAAGCATCAATCAACCCATATACAGTGCCTAGACAGTCATCGTATAGCGTGTCCCCTAGCCAATAATTACCCCACCACACTACAGCACAAGCAAAGCCACAGCCCCATAAATAAGGTATCTAACCACCGATGCATAGCAAGCAGCAGAAGGCGAACCGATTTTTGGAGGTGCAGGAGCAGGCGGGGTGGGGGAAGAGGAAGACGAAGAGGGCGGAGAAGGGGAGGGGGGAGAAACTGCAGGAGGAGATGGGGAGGGGGTGGTAACCATAGGCGGCGATGGGGAGGGGGTGGTTTCCTTGGGCGGAGATGTGGAGGGGGACGCAGTTGGGGGCGGGGAGGGGAGGGGGGCTGAACCAGGGGCAGATGCGGAGGGAGGAGCTGAAGGAGTGGTGGCTGCACAGTTGGCTGGGTCGATGGTTCGGCCAATCAGATCGGCGTATTCGGTGGTGTTGACCGAACCGGCAGGACAGGTGGCAGGGACACTGAGAGGGTCGCAGCAGGCAATGTTGGCGGGGTAGACTCCACTGCTGGTGAAACAGCGAGTCTGAGGGGAGAGGGGGGAGAGTGGGAGGGGGAGGGGGGAGGGAGGGTTAAAGAGAGGGGAAAGGAGACGTTGAGAGGGTCGCAAAAGGCAATGTTGGTGGGGTAGACTCCACTGCTGGTGAAACAGCGAGTCTGAGGGGAGAGGGGGGAGGGCGGAGGGAGGTGAAGAGAGGGAAAAGGAGACACTGAGAGGGTCGTAGCAGGCAATGTTGGCGGGGTAGACTCCACTGCTGGTGAAACAGCGAGTCTGAATGAGGGAGGAGGGAGGAGAGAGGGGGAGAGCGGGAAAGAGTGGAGAGGGGGGGAGGGGGCAATAGGGTGGAGGGGACACTGAGAGTGTTGAAGCAGGCAATTTTGGTTGGGTAGACTCCGCTGCTGGTGGAGCAGTGAGTCTAAAGGGAGGGAGGGCAGGGGGGACGGATGGGTGGGGGAGGCAGAGCAGCACAGGCAAGGGGCTGCGGAAGGTTACAGCAACCAACGCTTGTGAGGTAGACTTCACTGCTGGTGACACAAACCGTTTAGGGGGCAGCTACTTTGGAACAGATACGCAGTTCTTAACAGTGATAGCACTGCATACAAGCAGTTACTCACTGTAGCACGTCTAGTACTCATTGCAATACAGTAACATACTGTAGTGAATTCGAACTTGAAGTTGGGTGGGGATGTTGAGGGACTTGACGACATTAGCCACGATGATGTTCATGAAGTCCGGGTAAGATGTAATACAGTTTTACTCACAGTAGCGCAGTTACTCACTGTAGTGAACTCAAACTTGAAGTTGGCAATCCCAAGGGACTTGACAACGTTAGCCACAATGATGTTCATGAAGTCAGGGTAAGAGGTGATGAGCCCCGTCAGATCCATACCGTCGCCCACTGTTGCTCAGAGTGGGAAGAATGAAAGGAGAGGGAGGGAGAGGAGTTGAGGTCACGCGAAAAAAAGGGGGTCGACCATTCGCATTGGTCATTACAACTTTGCAAGCCCTAGTCCACTAAAAAAAGAAAAAGGAAAAAAACCAAATGTGAAAGGCCACTGCAGGCTTTAAAAATGGTGTCCGCGTGTCCGCTTAGCCAGTGCGTGCAGACGGTATTCGTGGTGGATGAGCCGGAAGTGAAGTTTTGAGGAGCCTAAAATGAAACGAATTCTAACGGGAGAGCGCCACTGCGGACAGTCATGGTGGTGGATGGATGTGCCTGGGGGTCTGTTTTTTACGAGCCTAGAAAGTGTAAAATTCCTTACAGGAAAGGCCGCTGCAGGCTTGAAAGAGGGTGTTCGCATATCCAGTGCAGACCGTCATGGTGGTGGAATTGTTGGGAACAACCGCCACGTAGGACCCGGAGTTAGGGTTGCATGTTATTCCGCACAGCAGATCCTCTATCAGCTGCGCGCACTGCGCCTGGCCCGTGAATAGATCGCACACCTGCGGTGATTGTTTTAATGAAACAAGGGAACATGGGGAAGAGAAGAGAATCATGGACGGTAAACCAACCGCTCGGCAAATGTTCCATCAGCTGCGCGCACTGCGCCTGACCCGTGAATAGATTGCACACCTGAGGTGGTTGAACATTTGGAAGAAATGAAGACGATGAGGAAAGGAAACAATAAAAAATGAGACATGTAGTCGAGGTCGTGGAGATTTAAAGCAGACGCACAGCAGATAACGCGTATGCAAACCGACCGCCGCGCGCAAGACGCGACGGATGGAACAGCCAAAAGTGTTCGGTTTTTGTTAATCAAATCGCTCTTTGCTACTCGCGTTATTGTTTGGTCGTGACAAGAAGCATCGAGACGTGCTGGTGTTCTCTTCAGGTCCGCATTGATAACATACAGCCACTGCAAACGAATTCTGACGCGCCTAGAATAGGAGGGTGACCTTGAACTTCGCGTCTATCAAATTCCGCGAACTGCGGATCGCTAGACTTGAAGAACCTAGAGGACAAAGCCTGTGCTCGGTTCGGCTCGGCTCGGTTCGGCTCGGTTCGGCTGACCTTGAGCTTCTAGTTGACTCAAAACTCGAAAATACAGCCCGTGGTGGGCTCGGCTCACCTTGAGCTTCGGGTCGATCAGGTCTACAAACTGTGGGCTAATCTGCGACACGACGCTGGTAAGATTCGTCCCGACAATCCCGAGGGCCGTGTTCAGATCCGTGCAGTCGGCGCAGCAGGACGCATCGACAGCGGCCATGCATCGCGACGGGGGAACCGCCGGTTTTGTCGGCTGCTTCCCCGTGAACGGGCACGCGGGATATTTCGGCGACGGCGATGCTGCTGGCGACAGGCCGTGGACGTGTGCGACGGAGAGAGTGGCGACGACGACGAGGAGCAACAGCTGCGGAGCGATTTTCGCCATTATGTTTTTCTTCTTTTTTCCACTCGACGGCCCACACCCTACGAGTACTACCTTAGCGTCCCTTGAGCGACAGCCCACAAAGTTCGGCGACAGGATTCGTGTCAACCTGAGCGACAAACTTTACAATGCGATCCCTGCACTATGGTCGCATCTGTGTTGTGGTCAAGTAATCGAGGATATACGAGCGTGTTACTCCAGGAAAAGGAATATGCAATTGTCAGCTGAGCCAAGGGCAGATGAGGAACTTGGCCAGATAATAGCTTCTTTTTTGTGCACCGACAAATAGATTGTCTAGGTCTGGGAAGGAAACACTGCTCGGCGATATCGCATAAATGAGCAATTTTCGTTTCCAGCTCAGCGAAACAAAATTACTGCAACGACACGGTTGACGAGATCGTCGAATCGCAGAACCAGGTAACCTAGCGATCGTCGTCACGGACCGCCGACAGCAGTGGCAGTGAACGTGCTTGCATTGTGCATCTTCTGTCGTTCCAGGAGCTAGGGCGCGTTTTGGTGATCAGAAGGCTCCAAACGAGCTGTCAAAGAGTTTTGAACGGCCAAACAAGTATCATCTGCCGCAACTTTAGATCTGCACCGTTAACAAAAATTTGGACCCTCGTCAGGCTCAGGTGGTTGATGGGTGTTTCTGACGGTCTCCACCTCCAAATGGCGACCGAAATCGGCCGAAAACTGCCGTGTTTCCTTCTAAACCAAATGAAGAAAAGCATTTCTAGAAACAGCTGGGCCTCGCAGTCCGATAACATGGACTCCTATACAACCTCGAATGTGGCTGAAATGTACACTCCATAACATTGGCATACATGAGATAAGTTCAATCAAATATAACACTCGGCAACTGTTTGGTCTTCATCAGATTGATTGCATTGAGACTGGCTGGTTCCACGATTCAATAACGTGGCAACTTTCCTTCAACTGAGATGTGGTCGATCACGTTACAGTCCGGATTTGGGGCATCCTTTTGTGGGAAAGTACGGAGGAAACTGATTGTATCACCTTCAGAAGGCTGAGAACTCCATAGAGGTGGTGGTGTATCCCAGGGTGTGCGCTTATCAGGCGGGAGGCAAGAGCAGCAGACTAGGGCGACATGACTTGTCAGGTCATAGCTGGGTCAAATCACCTAAGTGGATGGATTGTTCCTTGTGTCCAAATACAAATGTTGGTTTGCCATTGTCTGTCTGTTCTGAACAGGAGGATCTAAAAAATCATCACATACTTATACCTCAAAATACTATAGGAGCAAGCATCCCTATGGCCGCATAAAGCGCATAGCTAGAAAATAAATAACGGGCTGCAATAGATGACGAGCCAGTTTTGGGTGGGGGGTTCGCCGTGGCAGGAGTGGGTGGCAATGGAGGGGGTGTGGTGGCTTGGCACGTAGCCGAGTCAATGGATCGACCAATAAGACCGCCATATTTTGCGGTGATGTTGGCAGGACAGGTGGCAGGCAAATCGAGAGGATCGCAACAGGCGGTGTACAGGGGATATGCGCCAGTGCCATTGAAGCAAGGTGACTAGGAAACGAAGTTATGGGCACGAAGAGAAAGGTGAAGAGGGGGGTGCAGGGGGGGGAAGCGTTTGAGAGAGAGAAAGTGGGGGGAATGGGATGGGGAAGAAAATCAGGCCAATAAGCTAAGAGATGAGATCAAAACCTTTCAGAGCAGTATGGTGCATTGCACATTGGTTGTGTGAGAAGAACTCACTCTGCTTGGCCTCCCCAATTGGAACAAAACTTTACCACAGACAGTTCACACAATGAACTTGAAGGAAGGGAGGGAGAGAGAAACAACACGAGAAAGGAGTGGTAGAGAAGTGGAAGAGCGGGGGAAAGGGGAAGCACAAAAGAACGTGCGAGAAGCGCTTACTGAGGATATTTGGACCTCAAAACCCTCGACTCCAAGCGTCTTGACCACGTTTGTAACAACGAGGGTCATGAATTCGTCAGCTGTGGTAACCAGTCCTGAAAGGGACTTGTCACCAACTGTGCTTGAAACGAAGGTTGATGTGAACAGAGAATGGAACAGGGGGCAATTCAGAGAAAAAAGAGTGAGGAGCAAAAGATGATTGACAAGAGCAGAGAAGCTAGTAACGAATCTTACGTGCATGAGAACATTGCACTAGTAAGCAAGCAAGCAAGCTCGTGTGCCAACCATAATCATGCAATACAGGTCTGCACTCTAGAGTGTGACAAAGCTCATGTGACAATTTTGCGTAAGGAAACTGATGGGCAGTAGCACTGGGGTCCCAATAGACAGCTGTCCCCAGGGTGTTTATACGTTGCCTCCGAACAGCAATAATCAAGGCCCTTGTACCGTGCGAGCCTCTTGCCTGGCCGGCTAGATCCGAGCACAAATTCATGCTATTATGCGTTTTCTTTATATATATGTATATAAATTACTCAAAACATCCTCCTGAGGATACTCACATGTAAGGCCCTTGCACTGTGCGAATAATTTGTCTGCTAGATCCGAGCACACGTTCATGATCACCCCTGTGTTGGATTTTGTCGCATAGGAGCCAGCATTAGGGTTGCAGGAGAGCCCGCACATCAGGTCCTCTAGTAGCTGCGAGCATGGCGTCATGCCTATGAAGATATCGCACACCTGGAGGAACGTGAGGTGGAGCAAGCGAGGAAGAGAGTCTTATCATGAGGCTTTTGAATGCATGACTCCGGATTCAGGCTCTTGAGTTAGACCTTTGAGGTCCCCATGGAAAGAGTTGCAAGCTCTGCGTTATTCAGTCCCGAGCGTTCCGCCCCAAAGAACCGCATCATGCAGCGATTGCACGCCCCTAAGCCTGCCAACGCACCGCTATGCTAGAATCGATCCCATCCGCGATGGTGGGGTTAATCTGAGCCACCACGTCCTTTAGATTCGAAGCTACCAACTGCACAGCCGTGCTCATATCCGTACAGTTGTCACAGCATGATTGGTCCTTGGCGGCCGGGCAACGAGCAATCGGAATGGTGGGTTTTTTGGGGGGCAGCCCTGTTAACGGGCAGATGGACGACGCAATTCCTGGGGCAGGCGACAGAACCGGCGCGGGAGGAGGGGAAGCCGCCAGTCCGTTCAAATTAGCGAGCGTGGCGAGAACGAAGAGAACGAAATCCGGACGCCTCGCCATGGCTAGATGTGAGTGAGGAAAATGACGAGCTTGTGAGTGGATTGGATTGAGCAGAGTGGAAATAATAAGAGCGTATTCCTAACCTCGTATCAACTGAACCTCATATCAAGATTGAACTTTTTGCCTGGTAAAACTAGCGAGAGGTTTTGGGTTTAGGGGAATTTTCAGTGGGAGGTTGATATGAGGTTCTCTTATTATCTCCACTCTAAGTGGAGGTGTGCAGAATTCAGTAATTGAGAAAGCTTGCTTTCTATTCTTGCAAAGGCAACGGGCTTCATTACAATTGCAATTACAATTGCAGTACTTACAACATTCTCATCCAACTATGGATTATACAAATGTACAACTAGGGTGGGTGGGTGGAGGCCGAATGGCCTCCAACCCTCATTATGTACTCGGCGAATTGTAATTTGCCGTTGCTTTGCTGCGTTACAGGCAGCTGCGCTTTCACAATACGCATTTTTAGAAAGTGTTACACACTTTCGAAAAAAAATCATTTTTATGCAAATCAAGAAAACACAAATTCACACAAGACGAGACCATCGGCCAAAATAGCCAGCGTCCCCAGCCAATCGACGGCGAATGCTCTCTAGCGGGGCTAGCTTTGCGAACACCGCTGATCCTGAAACTTGCTATTTGAATCAAAACAAGGTGATGTTTCCAAATCTATGTGTGCCTAAAAGATGCATGCTGTTCAGCATTAGGAACGTCAAGAACGATTCCAACCTTGAAATTATGGCATAATATAAGTTTAGAGGTTATATTGAGAGGAGAGCGCGCCACAGTGCCTGGACACTGGTTCAAGACAAACAATGGAGCAGAAAACCATGCACAGCACATGCAAAACCAGAAGAGAATGCGAAAACACTGGTTGGGATGGGATCAGGGCTGACTTTATCAGACTAAAATAGTCTGATTGTCTGAAATCTCAGGGTATTTTCCTACGGATCCTGATTTTTCAGACTTGTAAGATTTTCAAACATGAGTGCCTCAGACTTGCTTGGTTTTGGATCCTGAGATTTTCAGAGTACTGACTTAGCCGATAATGGGTCTTCATACTACAGGGAGTACGGATCCTGAAATGCGGATCTGTGATTTCTACGTACATTCCGCTACGTCATATGTTGCCAGTGTACGAACACACTTCATGGCGATGTCACGCGCAGAATCTGTCCTTGGCAACTTTTGCCACCCTTTTTCCTTAGAAATCTGCCAACTTGGCTCACTCTTCCACTCACGCGGGACCATCACTGCAGCTACGCGGTGTCAGCGAGGGAAACTGGTTAGCGTTGCGCCCCACGTGCTACATTTGTGGCAGTACTGTACTGCAGTGGTTGTAGTGTGTTCTGAGTACTTCAGACTTGTGTTTTTGCGGAACCTGAAAAATCAGAGTGGCCATTCTCTGGGAAATATGCCTCAGACTAAAAATTTTCAGAGCCCCCAGTGTCAGATTTATATGACATAGCTACTGTAGGCTATAGTGGGGTAGCACATATGGGGTACAGTTTTCTAGGGTTTGCTTTTGTACCCAACTTTCCCTTAGTCAATCCATTCCTCGTTATTTCACATGGTATAGAGCGGGTTCCCTCGTGGGAACGCTTCCTAGGGCCCACCAATCGATTTTTTTTTTTTTCCTGCCCGGAGCGCGCTTCGCTCCTGCCCGAGTCGCGCCCCGCGTGCCCTCCCTACCGTCGCGCCCTCTCTAGGCCCCTTACGGCCCCTTCGCGTCGCCCTTAGCGGCCCCTCTGACGGCCCCTCGTGCCGCCATTACGGCCCCTCGCGCCGCCCTTCCGGCCCCTCGCGCTGCCCTTACGGCCCCCTACGGCCCGTAGCCGCCCTTCGCGGCCCCTCGCGTCGCCCTTCACGGCCCGTCGCCGCCCTCCGCGGCCACTCGCGGCCCCTTCACGGCCGGTCGCCGCCCTCCGCGGCCCCTCGCGCCGCCCTTCACGGCCCGTCGCCGCCCTCCGCGGCCACTCCCGGCCCCTTCACGGCCGGTCGCCGCCCTCTGCGGCCCCTCGTGCCGCCCTTCACGGCCCGTCCGCCGCCCTTCGCGGCCTCTCTCGGCCCGCCGTCGCCGCCTCTACAGCAGCAGCAGCTGCAGTCGCTACAGCGACCGCGGCCGCAGTCCCAGCAGCAGCAGCATCCGCCGGCCCTGCAGCAGCAACTGCCGCCGCCGCTGCAGCAGCGGCCGCCGCCGTCCTGTGAGCAACAGCCGCCGCTGCCCCTGCAGCAGCCGAGCCGCCCGAGCCACCGAACCGCCCAAGCCGCCCGAGCCGCCCGAGCCACCGAACCGCCCGAGCCGCCGAGCCGCCCGAGCCGCCCGAGCCGCCCGAGCCGCCCGAGTCGCCCGAGCCGCCGAGCCACCCGAGCCGCCGAGTCGCTGAGCTGCTGACCTGCTGGTGCTGCCGAGCCGCCGAGCCGCCGAGCCGTCCGAGCCGCCCTGTCCTCTACACTCGGTCCGTCTCGCCTGCCCGGTAAGAGCAGCACCTCTACTACTGCGCTGCCCTTAGCCTACTGCTCATGCTGCTAGTCTACTGCTGTCATGGCTACCCCCAGTGTCCTCGCTTTTGACGCTGAGGGTCGGGCCATTGACTTTGACGTCTGGGTAGATGACCTGCAGCTTTTCCTACAGTGCGATAGGGCAGACGGTCTCTCCCTCTTTGATCTCACTTCTGGTGCCTCCCCTGCCCCCGCTGCTGATGCTGACGCCACTGTTCGCTCACAGTGGGCCACACGCGATGCTGCTGCACGTCTTGCTGTGCGTCGCCACTTGCCTACCTCTGAGCGTGCGCACTTTAGCCAGTACAAGAGTGCTCACACCTTGTACGACGCTGTAGTTGCGCGCTACTCCTCCCCTGCCACTGCTGCACTGAGCCGCCTCATGCTACCGTACCTCTTCCCTGACCTTGCTGCCTTTCCCACAGTCGCTGACCTCATTACGCACCTCCGCACTAGTGACACTCGCTACCGCGCTGCGCTTCCTGCTGAGTTCTGCGCCAAGAACCCCCCCCCCATGTACATCACCCTCTACTACATAGTCACCCGGCTCCCTGACTCCCTTCGCGTAGTCAGGGACCACTTCCTCTCAGTTTGCCCCACCACTCTCACCGTTGACCTCCTCGAGAAGGCCCTCCTAGCAGCAGAGAAGAGCATAGTCGCTGTAGGAGCCTCTCGTGGTGACCCTCGCACCCCCGTCTTTGAGGGGTGTTCCCCCTCCCCCCTTTTGCCCTCTGTTGCCTCTGCTGCTGCGGCCGACCTCGTTGGTTTCGAGTCGGTCGGCGCTGCGTCTGCCCCGAGCGGGAGACGCCGCACCGGCAAGGGCAAGGGGGGCAAGGGTGCTGGAGGGGCTGGCGGGGGTGGCGGAGGTGGCGGTGGCGGCAGTGGAGGGGGTGGGGGTGGTGGTGGGAGTGGTGGTGGGGGTGGAGGTGTCGGTGGCGGCAGTGGAGGCGGAGGCGGCGGCGGCGGTGGCGGTGGGAGCGGAGGTGGCGGAGGTGGCGGCGGTGGAGGAGGCGGCGCCGGAGGAGGTGGAGCTGGTCGGGGTGGCGCTGCACAGAGGGTCGGCTCCGGTGGTGGTCAGCGCCAGCAGCAGCAGCAGCAGCAGCGGCAGCAGCGCACTCGTGACATCCCCCCCCCTCAGCAGCTCCGTGAGTGGTACGCTGCACGCCAGCGGGGTGGGGGTACTGGTCCGTGCACCTACGTCCTACGCACCGGCGACCGCGCGGGTGAGCAATGCGGGGGTGCGCACTCCACCCAGCGCTGCTTTGGCCGCCTGACGGACGCTTGGTGTCACCAGTTCCCTGAGGCCACTGAGATCCCTCGCTGGGGCGAGCTGTCTAGGGCGGGTGTAGCTGTCTTTGACCTTGACTTTGATGCTATTCTTGCTGCCATGTATGCTGTGACTATTAGTGATGAGGGTGACTGTTACCGGTGTTTTCCGCCCGACCCGGGCATTGAGACTGCTGCTCTAGGTACTGGTGAGGCTGCTGCTCTAGGTGCTAGCGAGGCTGCTGCTCTAGGTGCTCGTGCGTCTGCTCCCTCAGGTGCTGGTGAGTCTGCTCTCTCAGGTACTGCATCGGCTTCGGCCTCCCACACCTTCACCCTTGACTCGGGGGCTTCTCGCTCCTTCTTTCGAGACCGCACCACACTCACGCCGCTTGGCCGGCCAGTTGCAGTCTCTCTGGCAGACCCCTCTGGGGGTCCTGTCCTTGCTCACTTCTCCACTGTCCTCCCGTGTCCGGCGGCCCCCTCTGGCACCCTGTCTGGTCTTTACCTCCCCTCGTTCTCTACGAACTTGGTGAGTGGTGCTGATCTACAGGATGCGGGGGTTCACCAGTTCACTCCTGCGAGTCAGCGGGTGACCCACTGCACGGACGCTCGGACAGGCCGACACCTGGCCACGTTTACACGTCGGCCGGGGTCGAGCCTGTACACACTGACCACTGCGTCTCCTTCAGTCACTGCGTCTGGTCAGGTAGCTGCGTCGGGTCAGGTGTTTGCTGCAGCGTCCAGGTCTGGTCCTGAGTCTGCCCCCTGTTCGTGTCGCCTTCTGTCTCACGAGACTCTCCTCTGGCACCACCGCCTTGGTCACCCCTCCCTGCTTCGTCACCGAGGCATGGCCTCCCGTGTCCTTGTCTCTGGTCTTCCCCGGTCCCTCCCTCCCCTTCCTCCGGGGCCTGGCCCTACCTGCGTCCCCTGTGTCGAGGGGCGGCAGCGGGCTGCCCCTCACTCCTCCCAGTTCCCTCCGACAGAGGCCCCGCTGCAGACGCTTCACATGGACATGT